AAGAGGAGCGACGTGGGCTTCTAGGCAGGGAGACCAAAGACAAGGGCACTGACATGCACTTCACCAATCAGGACTCACTCCCAGAACTTGTCATAGTAATAGAACATAATCTGCCTCATTTCATGTCCTCTCCTTCCCCTTATAAAGAATATTCCGGGGCCAGCAGATGGCATAATGGTTACATCACTGGACTCCCAGTCACACTTGGTTCGAGTCCTGAACCTGGTGCCTTAAAAATCAGGCTAGGCACACATGCATGCATGACAAAAATCCTTAAAGGAGATAGAGGAGAAGGGATTGTGGCGTGGCCATCCCCCTTGAGGGGTGATTTCTTGCTTTCTGTTTCTGTCTCTCAGGCAAATGCATGCTCCCTATAGCAAAAATCTGTCTCAAAAATAAATAAATAAATACAAAAATATTTTTTTTAAAAAGAATATTCCATTGGCAAACTAACAACACTCCGCTTTTACTATCCAACCATGAGAAGACATAGAGTGTGAGCCAACTCAGATTCAAACTCATCTCGACCAGAGGGCAGAGGGCAGGAGTACACCAGAAAGGGAGAATACAAGGAATTGGGTCTGAAGGCCTGAGCACCACAAAAGGTAGAAAAACTGAAAGCACACCAGGGAAGGTCCAGCTCTCATCTCTCTAAGCTGACCCACCTCCCCTGGCCCTGATAAATAAGAGAAAAAGTGCTCCCTAAACTCAAAGAGAATGTACCTCTGGAACTGGAAAGAGCCTTAAGTTTCTGTGCAGAAGCAGTTATGGTACCCCCCAGCCTAATTTTCAGGAGGATATTTCTCTACAACAGATAACCCTACCAAACAGTTTTCTGGCTAGGGCTGTCTCCCACCCTCACCTTGCCCTACCCACTTAAATCCCTTCCCCTAGGCTCACTTTCCCTCATAATATCAAGAGCAGCCCCAGCTCAATTCTCTCAGGGAACAATCCTAGAGCAAACTCCAGTTGCCTAAAGACGACACGGTTCTTCTCTTTGAACCCTCTCTGTGCCACCCATACGACATACGTCTCTGCACCACACCTTCTTACACACACACAGAATCAAGTTGCTAACTGCCACCCATTTTCTATTCTCAGCGTATTCCTTTACGGTGCCTCGATCTGCCTCCAAGGAGGCTCTCTTCCTTCTCCATCCTCTAGTTTTAAAACTACAGTCTCTCTCCAACCTTCCCAAGTGCGATGCCTTTGGTGGGGACGAGTGTCTCAGATCCCTTTACAGTCAGCTCAAAGAGTCTGTCCCAAGTGAAGTACCAAAGCTGATTCCTCAAGGATATAAACAGGTGGCAGGGGACCCTTCCCGCCACCTACACACTTACCTCCATCTGAAGCCATTCTCTCAGGGTTGGGCACTAACAGTGGCTGTCTGGAAGCCTCCAGAAGGGACAGTGAGATCTGGGACCCACAGAGGAACCTGGCTCCAGTAGAGACACAGGGATCTAATGAAGGGAGAGTAAAGATTAGATCAAAACAGAACTAGAACCTAGGACTCAGACATTCTGCCACGGGGGAGGGGAGAAGGAGTGTGGGATGGGGGTGGGGAGGAATTCTAGGAAGGGTTCTAGTAAGTAGGCAATAACCAGGAACTCCCTCCAAACCAGACTTTGGCAGCATAACTGATGTGTACCTCTTAAGGACAATAAGTACATTTTTTCTCAGATGCCCAGTTTTACCTTTGGGTTCCCTGTACTAAGTTCTTCACCAACATATTTAGTTTTGCACCCTTTGATCCCATCCAATCTGATTCCACTTATTATTAGCAGGTTGATGGTAAACAAGCCTTAACTTAATTACAAGATGGCTGTATTTCCTGAGCCATTCAGAGCACAAAGCCTGTTTTCTTAGAGATCAAGGAGGGCCAGCAGGTGGCATGGTGGTTAAGGTGCTGGATTCCCATATGGCCGACCACAGTTGGGAGTCCCTGACTGTGGCTTGAAAACACATCAGGTGCATACGTGCCCAAAATTCCATAAAAAGAATGGAGGAAAAGGGAGTAAATTGTGGCCATCTCTCCAGGGGGTGCACCCTACAGCAAAAACCTTTAAAAAATAAATAAAAAAGATCAAGGGAACCAGTGTTTGAAATTAAAATGGTCTCATACAACCTAGGGTGTACAACTGTTGTTTATCACTTCCTTGGAAAGTTATCCAGCAGTTTCCAAACATCCAGTCCTATAAACTCTGCAGTCTATAGAAGTCACAGCCTTATCCTTTGGAGAAAAACTGCACTAAGTCAAAAACTTCTATGCACCTTAAAATTTCAGGATCAAAAGGTTTTTCTTTTTGTTGCCCTTTCTTGTTTGTTTGCTGACTTTTTTTTTTTTTTTTTTTTTGAGACAGATTTTTGCTACAGGGCATGTGCAATCGCCAGATAGACAAAAAGTGAGAAATCACCCTCAGGGGGTGATTTCACCACAGTCCTTTCTCTTCTATTCTCCTCTGGGGATTGTGTGAGCTCATGCATAAGCGCACCCATAAATTTTAAGTCGCCAGGACTTGAACCGCGGTTAACTACGTGGGAGTCCAACTACATAACCATTACGCCATCTGCTGGCCCCTCTTTTTATTTTTTAAAAATATAATACTTTAGCATGGTTCCAAAGTCAAACTGCAAAACAGAGTATACAGAAACAAATCTTCCTCCCACCCTCTTCTCTGTAACCAAGTTCTGTATCTTAGGGAAGACCAATGTCATCTATTTTTTGTCAGTTCTTGCAGAAATAATTTATACAACAATAAACAAATACAAACTATTTTTAAAAAAAGGAATCAGATTTTTCTGGTTACAAAATTAATATATGTTCCAACGTTCCTGGCATTATAAAGACTGCTGTAATGATCATCTTTGTAATGTTATCTTGGCTCTAATTTTCCTTTCTTTAAAGTAGAGTCTTAAAAGGAGACATTCTAAGTTCTTTAAAAAATTCGAAATACTTCCAGAAGATGCACCGTATTATGCTATTTTAACTACTCACCACTATAAGAAAGAACGATGAATTTACTGTAGAGACCTGAGTTTGAATCTCGGTCCGACCACTAAAACATACTTCATCAGTTTCATAGAATAACTTTACGCTCTCCTCGCTTTACAGAATATCGAATACCCATCATGCACTCTTTACCGCCTATACTTTGAAACAGGGCGGGAGAACCGGATGTAAAAGAGGGGAGGAAAGAAATTATTCTTTTTTCGCCCCTACGGTTCAGGGGCTCTAAATCCTTGAGCCTTCGTTTCTCCAGGCACTAGATATCCATTGCCTCCGAAAGTAGGTGTGCAACTCGAGAGAAAGACAAAATTGTAAACATAAGTGTTTAGTCCACATCCATGCCTACCCCCCTCTAACGCCTCTAACTCCGGGCACACTGTGGGCACACTCCGCGTGTCTCAGAATGCCTGCAGGGTTACAACTGGAAGCCCTAGGCCAAGTCCTGCACTAGCGCGCCCCCTTCTGGCACCCCAGATGAAGATGAGGCAAAAATGGACTACATTTCCCGGCATGCCTTGAGACAGGCTTCCGGCTATACAGGAAGGAACTGACAAACACGTGAAGAGATCAGATAGACTGATCCGCGGAAGGCGCTGGAACCTTTGGGCGTTGTGTGGTCGTCATGTTTCTCCAGTATTACCTCAACGAGCACGGAGATCGCGTCTATACGTTGAAGGTGAGGAGAGGAAACAAGTTGTAGGTGGGCCTGGTGGGAAATGTAGGTGGCAGGAGCCGTTGAGACCGTCCACCGAGCTGCCTAGATGGATGGGTGCGGGGAACCCGAAAGTCCAGGCACGGCTCGTTGATCTGACCGTTGCGTCTCCGGTTTCATGTTTGCGCTTTTTCTCGTGGCCCTCTCCGCGTCCCCCCACTCCTGTACTGAGATCATGTTCTCTTCCTTGAGCAGAAATTTGACCCAATGGGACAGCAGACTTGCTCAGCTCATCCTGCCCGGTTCTCCCCAGACGACAAGTATTCACGACACAGAATCACCATCAAGAAACGCTTCAAGGTGCTCATGACCCAGCAACCACGGCCTGTGCTCTGAGGGTCTCCCTGATGTTCCATGTCTCTTCTGCCGCCTGCTACCCTCGGAGACTCCCTAGCCAAGTTCCTCGATCTCTGAGCCGGGAAGCCTTACCACTTGGGCTCTTTGAAACCCAGTCTCTACCTCCTTTGATCATGTTTGTGTGAGACAATCGTGGGACATCCCCCATAAGGGAACAAGCTTAATTCTTTTTTTTTTTTTTCATTTTGAATTACTGTCAGTTTATTAAAGATACAGTTATTTGAAATAGCTCTGATTTCGTGTGTTGGTAATTAAAAAAAAATAAAAGCCGGCAAATCGAGGGCAGGGTAGTAGGGAGATTGTGTCCCAGGGAGTTGCAGCAAGACCACTGGAAGGAAAACTTCAGTCACTGCTGTAGTGGAGTAGTGATGTGCTGTTTGTGATACGGTTTTGGGGCAGGAGGGTGAGAAAGGTTGAGAAAGACTGTTCCACAACTGTCAACATTTACTGAAAAATAACCCTGTGGTCACATAAGTAATTTCTAGCCGCTTGAAATGAACATTTTGACTGAAAGTGGAAGAATTGCTCTAAGAAGTAATAACCGTGTTTTGGAGTGAAGGCAGTAAATTGGAAATCAGGAAACCAGTATTGTCCCCTCTGTATAACTGATAAAGTTACTTTTTCTCCTAATTTTGAAATCCTTTTCCAATTCTAAAATTGATAGGAATTAGTAGTGGGTCGTAATCTATCATGTTTGTCTAACTTGTAAATAGGATTGCCTTTATGCTTATTTACCGACTCTCTGGATATGTCTCCAGACTTAGTAGTTCTCTCATTTGTGGAATTGTCTTACACCTAACTTTATATTCTCTTTGATAGCTAGTGTGTGGAACTCTAAGATCTGAATTTAGATGATTAGGTATGAGAGATTCAAGCAGGAATTTTTGTTGTTTTTCAGACTATTGTAAGGACTTAAAAAAGCAAAAAGTGGGGCGGCAGCAGGTGGCATGGTGGTTAAGGTACTGGACTCCCACACACTGACTGCAGTTCAAATCTTAGACCTGGTGGCTTGCTTTCTCGCCTTCTGTTTCTCTCTGGTGAGTGCATGTGTCCTATAGCAAAATTTTTTAAAATTAATAAAAATAATTAATTTTTTTTAAAAAGCCAAAAAAAACCCCAAAAAACTGGGAGTGGGCCAGCTGGTGGTGTGGTGACTGGAACAGCTTGATTCCACATGACTAGTCCTTGACCCTGTGGCTTGAAAAACAGGCTGGGTATGTGTGCATGTATGCCAAAAATCCTGAGGAGAATGGAGAAGAGATTGTGGTATGGCGGTATGGGCCCCCCTCTGGTGTGGGCTTTCTCACCTCCCCCAACCTCCAACTCCAGAGAGCACATGCACCCTGTAGCAAACCAAAAAAAAAAAAAAGAGAGAGAGAGAGAAAAGCTGGGAGAAGTTTCTTAGGATTTGATCTTTTTTTTTTTTCTTAAGAGAGATTTTTGTTATAGATACATGCACTCACCAGAGAGAAAGAAACAGAAAATGAGAAATAATCCCCCAGGGGGATGGCCACACTGTAATCCTTTCTCCTCTAATTCCTGTCCTGGGATTTTAGGTGTGGTGAGTTTATTTTTTTTAAATAATTACTTACTTAATTTTAACATTCATTCATTTATTTTAATTTGACCAGACACACACCACACACACACACACACACACACACACACACAGGGAAAGTGAGAAAGCAAGCCATCAGGTCTGGGACTTGAACTGTAGTTGGCCATGTGGGACTATGTAACCGCCACACCACCTGCTGGTCCCCACCGCCATGAGTTTTTAAACTGTTGGGTTTGGATCCCAAACCGTGGTTAACTATGTGGGAGTCCAGCAAAGTAACCATTACACCATCTGCTGGTCCCAGGACTTAATCTTTCATGGGGCTAGCCATAAATGATTTCTAATCCAATTACTTCATCTTAGAAGGGTAGTGAGATAAAATAAGTATAAATATTCAAGAAAATCTAGCTTGCTGCTGCTGCTGCTTGGAAAGCCAATCCATTGTTTTCCAATCATCTGATTCATGACTTTTGACATTGGATTTGGATATATTTGCTTAGTTTCACTGATTTTACTATTGGTTTGTGGTGACTATTGTTATTCTGCCATCTTTTTTTTTTCTATTACATTAACAGTCTAGGCTCCAGGCTCAGAATTAAATCAGTACAAATGTGATTTATAAATACCGACCTTGGAAAGGGGTATATATGTTTCTCTGGGACCCTGCTATCTCACTATCCCAGATAAATAGTTCAGGATAGTTATTGACTACTAAGGAAAAATAAAACTGTCTGGACCCAGTGATAGTTAACAGAAAACATGATTTTCAAATAGACAAATTAATGGGAATGGAGAAATGAGATACTTCTCTCTTGCAAAACAGTTTTATATTTTATCCTATTTACAGGATCCTTAGATTTGAGGGATTTTATTTTTTAGACTTTTGCTATAGGGCTCCTGTGCTCGCCAGAGAGAGGGAAAGTGAGAAATTATCCCATAGGGGTGTGGCCATGCCAAAAACCCTTATCAATTCTCCTGGGATTTGGGGCATGCACATGCATGCATCTAGTGTGATTTTCTTTCTTTTTTTGGGGGGGAGAGGTTTTCGCTATAGGGCGCGTGCGCTCGCCAGACAAAGAGACAGAGAGACAGAAAGCAAGAAATCACCCCCCAGGGGGGATGGCCACACCACAATCCCTTCTCTATTCTCCTCTCGAGATCTTGGGATCACACACACATGCGCCCAGTGTGAGTTTTTTAAGCCACTGGGTCTGGGACGCGAACCGTGGTCGACTATGTGGGAGTCCAGCGACATAGCCATTACGCTAACTTCTGGTTCCCTCTAGTGTGATTTTCAAACCACTAGTTTTAGGACTAAAGAGAATCCAGTGCCTTAACCTCCGTGCCCACCTGCTGGCTCCAGGATCTGGGGGATTTCTTTTTCTTTTTTTCTTTTTTTTGCTACAGGGTCTATGCACTCACCAAAGAGACAGACAGCAAGAAATCACCTCCCGGGGGGATGGACACACTGTAATCCCTTCTCTGTTCCCTTTTTGGGATTTTGGGGACACACACACATATGCGCGCGTGCCTGATGAGGTTAAGCTGCCCAGTCTAGGACTTGAACCTCAGTTGCCTGCGCTGGAGTCCACTCGAACTGCAGTTGACAGAGTGGGAGTCCAGTGACGTAATAACCATTATGGCATCTGGTGATCCCAGGGATTGTGAAGAATTCTTTTATCCTATTAAAGGGATAATGAGGGAAGAAATGTTAAAAATTCTGCAAATGACTAGAAGAATTTTCTGTTGATGTTTCTTAAGCACCAGCGTGAGTAAATGAATTCTGCCAGTTTCTTTTTTCCATATTGACTGCAATTCTGTCTGTATCTTTCGAAAAGAAAAGGAAAAAAAAAACTTTGCTGTGTTTCAGTCCTCTCAGGACTGAAATGAAAAGATGTTAACCTGGAAGTATTACTAATCAACCAAGAGCAGAAATGACAAAATGGCACAAATACACTTGCAAGGACTTTTTCCTTAAGAGATCCCGGAGTTGTTTTTCAAAAGATTTTTTTTGCCATAGGGTTCATGCACTCACCAGAGAGAGTGAGAGACAGGGAGAGGAAGTGAGAAACCTCCCAGGGAGGATGGCCATGCCACAGTTCCTTCACCTCCATTCTCTTGGGATTTGGGGGCACACACACACACACACACACACACACATCGTAGGAGTTTTTTTAAAAGCCATAGTTGGCCATGTGGGCCAAGTCCAGTCCCTTAACCACCATGCCACCTGCTGGTCCCAAGATCTCTGAGTATTAATATCTGAGAATGCATTTATAGAGCTTGATTAATGCTTTGAGAAAGGATAGTCTTGAGTACAGTTTACTGGAGTTAGGTAGTATATATAAGTAAATGCAAAATCACTGTGGTAAGAAAAAAAAGTTGGGTTTTGTAAAAATCCAGCCTTTGTTTATGAAGGGAAGTCAGTGAAGTTTGAATGAATGGCCTGCCTGAAGAAAAAACTGAGCCCTCAGAGAGATGAATTTCTTGTTTCTTCAAGGAAGAAAGCTGTGAGCCTGACTGAATTACAGGCTTTTTGTATATATAAGTAAATGCAAAATCACTGTGGTAAGAAAAAAAAGTTGGGTTTTGTAAAAATCCAGCCTTTGTTTATGAAGGGAAGTCAGTGAAGTTTGAATGAATGGCCTGCCTGAAGAAAAAACTGAGCCCTCAGAGAGATGAATTTCTTGTTTCTTCAAGGAAGAAAGCTGTGAGCCTGACTGAATTACAGGCTTTTTAAGGTTTGTCAATAATAAGCACTTTTCAGAGACAGAGAGAAAAAGTACACTTCTTCCCAGTAGAGGCATGGTCATGCCACAGTTCTCCATTTTTCCATCCTGTTGAGATTATTATTTTTTTAAGAATAAATTTCATTGGAGCCAGCAGGTGGTGTCGTGGTTAAGGATGCTGGACTCCCACATAGCCAACTATGATTTGAGTCTTGGACCTGGCGGCTTGCTTGCTCACTTTCTCCCTCTCTCTCTTTCTCTCTCTGTGTGTGTCTCTGTCCCTGTCTGACCAAACTAAAAATAAGTAAAGTTAGGAACCAGCAGTTGGTGTAATGGCTATATCACTGGATTCTCATGTAGTTGACCACAGTTCGAGTCCCGGACCCTGTGGCTTAAACTCACACCAGGCGCGTGTCCTTTAACCACCACACCACCTGCGTGCCTCCCAGTCAGTGTTTCCGATGCTTACCAAACGTGGAAATGACAGGAGTAAACACAGAATGGTACTACTCTTGAACAATTTAGGGATGAAAACTGGTGAGTAAATTCTTCCTGATTCTGTTTCTAGTAGATAACACACCTGGTTAATTTTATTATTACTATTTTAGAGGGCTTTTTTTTTTTTTTTTTTTTGCTATAGAGGACGTGCTTGCCAGAGAGACAGACAGAAAGCAAGAAATCACATATACCCCCAGGGTGATGGCCATATTACAATCCCTTCTCCAATCTCTTCTCAGGGATTTTGGGCACACAAACACACATGCCCAGCATGAGTTTCAAGTCACCAGGTTTGGGATTTGAACTGCTGTCGGCCATGTGGGATGTAGCCACCTAACTAACCACTATGTCACCAGCTGACCCTATTTTTAATTGAATTTTTAAAAATGTATTATTATTCCTTTTTAATATGTGCTCACCAGAGAGAGAGAAAGTGA